GCCCGGAGGGTTTTGCTCTTATTTTGCCTCGGTTTTATGCCAAGGTCACTCAGAGGTCTCCGAGCGGTGACCTTACCCGAGCGCAGCGGCTCTCGGCCCTTGTGTCTCATGTCGGGTGCGGGGCGTTAAGCGGGGAAGGGGGACGAGAACCTGCCCGGTTCCCCGCGCTGGCCGCCCGGTCCCTGCCCGGCGTGCGGGCTCCTGGGGCCCGCCCGGGGACGGGTCCGCAGCGGCGCGGGGTCTCGGTCCTGGGTGTTCCCTCACCGGGGTTCTCGGCCCCTTTATCTCCCAGCACAGGGGCCGTGTAGATAAGGAGGGAAGGACACTTCGGGGACGTCTTGGCTTCCATTTTTAATAACTAAAGATCGGGTGAAACCGAATGTCGGCGTGTAACTGCTGGGTTTCCACTCCTAGGCCCAGCCTAGCTCTGCATGGCTGCACTGGCTTGAGAACTGGCAGCTTTACGTTGTGAAGCCCCGTGTCTGTGCGTTTATGTGAATTAATCTTTGCAATTAAGATGAAAATTTGGAAATTTGACCTATTTACCAGATATATCACCCTGTGTACTAAGAGCAGCTGATCATAATGCTCATGGTTTCTGTCTACTGAAAGAGTAAGACTGCTTCCTTCTGTTTTTTCTCTTCTAGGAGTGGTGCCAAGTTGACAGCACCCTTGGGATGCTTGGTCTCTAGGCAAAAGCACACTCTTCCTGACTTGCCTTACGACTATGGTGCTCTGGAGCCTCATATTAATGCAGAAATCATGCAGCTGCACCACAGCAAACATCATGCCACCTACGTGAACAACCTGAATGTTGCTGAGGAGAAATACAAAGAGGCACTGGCAAAAGGTCAGTATATCTGGAGTCAACAGGTGAGACAGAAGCTAGCTGATCTAGATGGTATAGGAGAAAAATGTATGGAGATCCCTTTGTTCCAGGGGAGATAGTTTCTTTTACAGATTTTGGATTATGTAATTGAAGCTCCCTTTTTTCTCTGAATTTGATTGTTGTGGATTTTGTCTGTATTTAAATTAGTAACTTGAATGAAAGACTTGAGTCAATAGGAAACTTCAGTCATTTTACTAAACAAATACTTTGTAATGAAAGATTAGTAATAAATGTGTCAAATTTGTGCACCTTGATCATTTTAACATCAGGTGCTCTGCTGATTCTTGTGAAATAGTCATATGCAAATGAAGCTAAGACAAATGTGTGGTTAATGTATACAGCACCAAACTGAGCTCACAAGTCTCTGGGGCACCTTTGTGCTGCCTGTCGGGTGTACTGGATTGTCTGCTGGGCTGTGTTGAGGAGTGCAGTGAGCTTGAGCAAAGGCCAGGGACTATATACAAATAAATTACAAGATTCTTTTGCTGAAACTTGTTACTTATTTCCCATTGTCTTTTCCAGTGCCAATTTCAACAGAACTAATATGACAGCACCACAGATATTGTGTTCTAAGGTCACCAGTCAAATGCCATCTGTGGTTCCTAGTGGTCTTGGGGAAGAGGTTCCTCTAGGGATTGGTGGAATAAACAGTGATAAAGACAGACATCCTTGGTTATTTTTGGATTTCTCGCCTGTGTTATGTTGTATGTTCTGGATGAACTAGAAAAGGTCATTAGGGCATGCAAAATTCAAGGAAAATGTCACAAAGATGCCATGTGAGTGAGTACAGGAGGTGTCTTACCTTTCACTTGATACCTGAATTCAGCAAATACTGTTTGTAGTAACAGTAGTTTGGATGCTTTGTTGCAGTCCTGTACCCATCTGGTTTTGTTGATGCAGAGATCACATTAGTTACAGACTGTTTTTTAACTTAGAGGTATTTTTGTGAATTGGCAAAAAATTAAACTGTGTCGCATGTGAAAATGAATTTGTGTGGGGATAACATTATTCTTAAGACAAGTTTGTAGAAAACTGTTTAGTTTCTACATCTTAAGGAAACTCTTCACTATATTTTTTCTAACAAAATCAAAAAGCCATAGGTGTGTGATTGAGCATTGCAGTAACTCCTTTTAGCAAAGCATTGAATTCTGTGTATTTAGAAGACTTGTGAGTCGTATTGGAGCAGCTTCATCCAGCTGTTTTTTATTTGTTGAGGCTTACCAAGGCTATTGTAGTTTCTGAAGGGTGTGAGGAGATACTCACCATCCCTGGAGGTATTGAAAAGACATGCAGATGTGGCACTTAGGGTTTAGTGGCACCATGCTTTAGTGGTGGACTTGGCAGTGTTAGGTTAAAGGTTGGACTTGGACTTGATCTTAAAGGTCTTTTCCAACCTAAATGGTTCTATTAGGATGAGATGCTGAGAGCCTGGAATCCTATATTTAAATCTTAGTAACAGATGTGCTAGTGCTTGATGGCTTGTGTTCAGGTGTGTTAAGAGGACTCATTTATTGCTATAGAAAGACTCCTGCTGCTCTTTTTGAGAGTGGAGGAAACGGCTGCTCTTGCTGATTCCGTATTGGAGAATGTATTGCATGCTGGAAAAAGCTTCAAAAAGCTTTGAAATGTTTCAATTCTTTTAAATTTAAAATAGCATTCAAAACACTGTAGAAGTAGTGCAACACCATTTAGAGGCACAAGGCACCAGTGAATTCTTTAAGGAATATGGCATGTTGTAGAGAAGGGTGAAGTACAGGGCTGTCTGATCTTGGTTTCAGATGCAGAGTTGTCACGTGGAACAAAATAATCTGTCACTATCTCCACATTCCTCCACAAAAAACAAAATGAAACAAAAAATAGGAGGGAGAAGAACATTTTGTGTATGTGCTTACAGTATTCTACTTTCTCTGAAGCACAAACTTCACCATAAATTGTTTAAGAAGCTTAAAAAATGGTAGTTTGCAAATCAGGGCTAATTGGGTGAACAGTGTTTTTGGAGTGGTAATACTGAGCAATATACAAGTGCTGGATCCTTAGAATTTTCTGTAGGTACTAGTTGCTTTATTCTGCTGTAGAAGGGCAATAGAACTTACATGTGTAGTGTGGATTGTCTCATAGGTGCAATATTGGCAGATTACATATCATTACAGGCTAAGAGAAGGTCAAAGATAAATCTTCATGTAGTTTGTCAGTGACTATCTAAAATACAGATAATAGTAACAAACCTTATCATTTCCATAGACATGTTACAGGCCGGTATGATTTTGGAGATGGATAGAGGCCTAGTGGCAACTTAGTGACTACTGTGGTGATTATGAAGTTTTTATTTATCTGTGTATTTTTATCTCCTGTGTCCTCAGGTGATGTTACAACTCAGGTGTCACTTCAGCCTGCACTGAAGTTCAATGGTGGGGGTCATATCAATCACACCATCTTCTGGACAAACCTTTCTCCTAATGGAGGAGGAGAGCCTAAAGGTTAGTGCTTGTTACAGTGGTTTATTGCATCAGTTTTAATTAACCTGTAGAAATTATGATCTTTTCTCTCTTTGAAAGAGTCTAAAGTATCTTATTTTTCAGAGTTAATTTGCCTTTCAGTATGAGAGTTATCACAATTCTGAGGAATTCAGGGTTTTTTGGATGCAAGCCAATAATATAAAAAGCTAGCCCAGTGCTAAGTATTTTTAATTTCTAAAGCTGATTATGTGTACACTGCCAAATACTTGACTATTGCCATATGTAAGGAAAAGCTGGATATGGCACTTAGTGCCATGGTCTAGCCAATGTGGTGTTGGTCATAGGCTGGACTTGATGATCTTAAAGGTCTTCTCCAGCCTTGGTAATTCTGTGATTCTGTGATATTGTCCTTTCCCTCTTAATACGAGAAAATAGTTGTACAAAGCGGTGATAATTAAGTTGCCATATATGTACTTGGTTCACAGAAAGGGAAGAATTGTGCTGCAGACCACTTAACCTAGTGGCATAAGTGTTCCAATTTGAATAGGGATAGGTAAGCAGTGGAAGCCTAAATGAAGAAATCCCCTTGGGGAGGACAGAGAAATGATTGTCTACAAGTGACCTGCAGCTAAAGGTAAAGGCCCTGTAATACAGATCTCATGAAAGCTGTTGTGAGAAACTTGAGGAATTTTGAGTGAGGTTTCTATGCGTCATAGTTTAACCTCAGCAAGAAACTAAGCCTCACACAGATGCTCACTTACTCCCCGCTGGTGGGATGGGGGAGGGAATCAGGAAGGTGAATGTGAGAAAACTCATGGATTGAGATAAAGACAGTTTAATAGGTACAGCAAAAGCTGTGTGCTTGAGAAAAGCAAAACAAGGAATTAATTCACTGCTTCCCACAGGAAAGCAGGTATTCCACCATGTCCAGGACTCCAGGGCTCTGTCACAAGTAACAGTTACTTGGGAAGACAAACACCATCACTCTGAACATCCCCCCTTTCCTTTTTTCCCATAGCTTTAGATACTGAGCATGATGCCATAAGGTATGGAATATCCCTTTGGTCAGTTGGGATTAGCTGCCCTAGCTGTGTGCCCCCCCTCCCTACTTCTTGTGCACTCCCAGCTTACTTGCTGGTGGGGTGGAGTGAGAAACAGAAAAGGCATTGCCTCTGCTCAGCAACGGAAACATCTCTGCATTATCAACACTTGTTTTCAGCACAAATCCAAACATAGCCCCATACCAGCTACTGTGAAGAAAATTAACTCTATCCCAGCCAAAACCCACACATTCTGTCTGTAAATTGGTGGGCTTCAGGCACTTAATACCTCGGTTCATTGTTCATAGGTGACATCTGCTTGTGATCTTCGACTCTCATAGAAGTACAAAGATGCTGTGAAGATGATCTAATTAAGACTAGAGCATAAAGCTTTGAAGCTTCAAAGCTGAAATTTCAACAAGCACTTCTGATGACAGTCAGTCCCTTTCTGATAGAGCTTGTTTTCAGATTATGTTCTCAGAAAAGATGCTTTAAAGCCTTTATTTTTGTCTCCCAGTTTCTGTGACATTTCTGTGAAAGTCAGTTGGCCTAAAATGACGTATTTTCGTATTCAACTGAACAGTTCAAGGCTTTTGTGCACTTTGTGCATTTCAAGATGCACCTGTAGCTATCACCAAGAGATTTTCAGCACCATCTGGGTGAAGAAATGAAGAATTCTCCAGCACTGTACTGTATGAAGTATTCTTACACATGCTAATTAAAAAGGAGTGTAGACACTTTCAGGTTTTGAGCAAACATT